GGCACCTTGTTGAGGGTGTTGACACCTTGCAGCTCGTGCTGCATTTCTTTCAACTCATGCTCGTCCTCTGCACCTCGTGTTCAAGTTCTGCACTTCATGCTCAGCCTCTGCAGCTCGTGGCTGACCTTGGCAGTAAGTGTTTGACCTCTGCAGCTTGTGCTTGAGCTCTGCAGCTTGTGTTTGAGCTTTGTAGCTCATTCTCAACCCCTGCACTTCGTGCTCGACCTCTACAGCTCGTGTTTGAGCTCTGTAGCTTGTGTTTGAGCTCTGCAGTTTGTGGTTGAGCTATGTAGCTCGTGCTTCAGCATCCTGAACCTTGGACTTCTGCATTTCGCAGCTCGTGATTCAGCAATTATCATTTCAGACTTTTACAGTTCGCAGCTCGTACACGAGCAAGATGCTTGTAGCTCGTGCTCCAGCATTTCGCAGCTCGTGCTTAAGCAAGATGCTTGCAGCTCCTCATTGCCGAGCTTGAGTAATGGAGCCCAGCCATAGTCAGCCTAGCCATAGCTGCTTAGTCTTCTTCTGTCATTGGAACCACAGGCTCTTGTTTCCTAGCAGCTGATTGGATTCTTACTTAAGTGACTTTAGGCTATGAAAGAAAGGATGACAATATTGCTAAAGCTTCTTCCCCAATTTCCTGAAAGTACTTACTTTCTAACCAGCTACGTACCTTCAAAATCAATTTCCATTAATTACATATATGTAAAGTAGAAACCAAAATGCAAAGTTATAAAGGCAAAAAACCAATATCTAGAATCGAATCCTGTGGAAGGAGAACAGTAAAATCCAAAAAGCTAAAAAGACTTTTGAGTAGGTTTTCAGAGGGTTGCAAAAATGTGGTAGATTCTACTTCTTGAGATATGGTGAAACTTGTGCAGATGGTTGCAGAAAATGAAAGAGATTTTATTCAAAAATGATGCAATCTTAGAAAATATGGAGTAATGGAGAAAAGAATGAAGGCAGTGAAAGTAGTGGACGCTGGAAAAACAGTTGTTTGTGTAGTGAAATTAAGCAGTTGGTTTGCTGAGAAAGGCTAAATGGTGCTGGACTGCCTTGCTTCTGCCGAGCTGGTGCACTGCTTTGAGCTTTGCCGCTGCCGAGCTGGACTGCTTTGTTGCTGCCGAGCTGGACTGCTTTGTTGCTGCCGAACTGGACCGTTTGGTTGCTGTCGAGTTAGGCTGTTGTGCTGCTGCCAAGCTGGTGTGCTGCTTTGGGCTTTGGCACTGCCGAGCTGGACTACTTTGTTGCTACCGAGCTGGACCGTTTGGTTGCTGTCGAGCTAGGCTGTTGTGCTGCTGCCAAGCTGAACTGCTTTGTTGCTGCTGTGCTTGGCCGCTTTGCTGCTACCGAGCTGGGCTGCTCTGCTGCTGCCGAGCTGGAGCATTGCTTTGAACTTTACCGCTGCCGAGCTGGGTTGCTCTACTGCT